GTCCCGCGGGGCGGCCAAGTCCCACCAGCCACAGTTTGGTCCCTCGAGGTGTCAGAAGTACGTACCTGCTACAACTTCTTGTAATGCTGCCTTTTTCCTAAGTCTGGAGAGGGTTTGCGTTCTGGAGGAAGCTTAATCTGTAAACTGCGTTACAGGAGAGAGTGCAGGGAACCCACTTGTTTCGTAGGAGAAAAAAAACACGGATGTTGTAACGGGAGAACAAAAACACACCTTCCAGTCAGCCTGTCCTGAAGCACAGCACGACGTCCCCACAGCGAGGCTCGTGCAAGGATGTTTTGTTCCTGGTTTTCCGTAGTAGCACTTACCCTCGTAGGGCAAAGTGCTGCAGGGGGGTGTTTGGGGCCGCGTTTGGTTCATCTCACTGCGGGGCGGATGCGGGGCGCACGGTGTCGCGGCGCAGGAAGGCTGTTTGGCGTGCTGGAAAATATGCAGGAAGCTGCCAGAGAAAGTGGCTGCTTGTGACTTTCAAAGCGGATTAAACCTGCATCCCCAGCCTTTGCCCTCATTGTGGAAAACAAGTGGATTTATTTCCCCTCAGTCAGAGGTTGGTTACGGGAACCGGTGCTGCAGCAGCTGCCTTGCCCCTGCTCGGCCCCAGGGCTTCCTCAGCTGGCAGGAGCTTTCATAGCTCTTCAAAGGAGTGAAGAGCCCATCAGCAAACACGTCCAAGGAGAAAAGGAACAAGACATTGTCACTTGGAATAGCACCGCCCGGTCAGGGCGATGAGGACGTTTGGGTCCCGGCTGGCCTCGTGCTGGAGCAGAGCGCCGGGCTCGGCTCGGGGAGCAGGAGGAGCTGCCCAGGCAGGGAAACACCTTTTTGACGAGCACGTAGTTGGGCTGTGGAAACCTTCACCCACTCTTTAAAGCCAAGAGCTCAGCAGGAGTCAGACATTTTTATGGGTGATGAAAGTTGCAATAAAAAAAATGGATTTTTTTTTTCAAGCTTTGGCAAGGATAGAAGCCCTCAGTCTTCAAGGCCAGCCCCTTCTTAGCTGTTTAGGAAAACGAAGCTGCTTAGGAGGCCAAATTGTTCACAGAGTGTCTTCTCTCAGCCACCTTGTCCTTTCCGGTGAAGGATCCAAAGCTGGTCCTTGTCTGCAGGGAGATAACACCTACCAGTGCCTGGCTCAAAGCCGCGTGCTCCGATGAAAGCAGCTCTGCAAGTAGGACGCAATCGCTATCACATCTGTTTTATTTTCTTCTTCAGATAACACCGTTCTGCTCCCCTAGGCCATTTCCACCTACATTTTAAACCAAATCCAGGCTGACAGTGACTGCAACCTGCCCTTGTCGTCCGGCAGAGATAAGCAGACGCCCGATGTCAGCCTTGCGGGACAAGGCGTGGGGCGTTTGGAGCTTCCTCATTATTCATCTCTCGGCTCAGCGGCAGTCCCGTGTTGCAATCGCTGCCCCAAAGCCATTTTTGGAGAGCCCAGGGTGCAGACACGTCCCCTCCTGCTGCTGGCACGGGGCGTCGCAGCGCCCGGAGCAGCAGTGAGGTTGTCCTGCAGGAGTGAAGAAGGGAGGGAGGGTGGTGGCCTGGCTGGGAGGTGCCACTGCTTGGATTCCTCTTGCTCTGCACCCTTTCCCCATCCCTTCTCACTGTGGCACCTCGAGATGGCAGCGCCCTACCCCGGGCTTTGCCTTACCCAGCATCGCCTTCATGTGATGCTCAGAAAGGCTCTTTGGGTTGCTGGGGTTTCTCACCTGTGGATGTTTTCCTGCTGGTGCTCGGAACTGAGGCAGGCAGTTACTCAGCCCAGGGGATGCGTTGTCGGCGAGCTCTGGTTTAGCAGCCCACGTTCTTCATGTTCCGTCCTTTCCTGCGAGTAAACCTTTCCCCTCCCTCTCCTGCAGGTCTCTACAACTCCATGGACAGCTGGATGATCGTCCCCAACATCAAG